AAAGGCCAATCTATCAATTTTACTAATTATTGTGAACATATCGATGCATATCAATAAATGAAAGTTTGTATTAATAAACATAACTTTGTGTAATTGGACTCCTAGAGCTTTACATATATGTTATGTAAGCTTATGGAATAAATATATATATATATAAATATAAATACATATCTATCTATCTATCTATCTATCTATATCATTATGTAGTTTTTTCACCATTTACAAAGAACACAATCAGCATCATGCAATTAGATTAAGGATGAATTATCAAGAACACTGAAACAAGCGATGCCACAAGGCTGAAGAGAAGGAATCTACAATTCTGGCTGATTCACTCATAATGAAATATATAATTTGCTCGTATTGGTAATCCTAAACTTTCCCCGACAATTAAATTGTGAATAATATAGTTGTGAATGACAATGTACACTGATAATTGGAATTGCCACTATCTTGACCCAAACACCAATTATGAACATGGCCATCATTAGGTGTGCCGAATGCAGCTCATGTGATTCATCAGCTGTACCAATCAGTCTCGTGGAAATCATGAGGGAAGTAGCTTGCTCAGGCAATTTAATTAAGTGGGTACTGAGTATGTGCCTCCTCGCACCCTTCCCTGGGGACTGGATTGTATATGGCTGTATGTAAACTTTGTTATATACCCAAACAGGCTTTGGTGGCATAACAGTTTTCATCTAGAATTTATGTGAATGCAAAATAAATTTAATGGTGTTTAGAGTGTTTACCTTTTCACCACTTCAGTATCATTGTCAACATTCTCCTACATAAAAAAATAACAAAAAACAGTATTTAAAACCAAAATTACATTTCTGAACCCATTGCTGCTGAGGATGGCTTGCATCTCCTTGCCATGCACACTGTGAGTAGAGTTTATTAATTATATTTACACACAGATGGCTCCACAAGAAGTCAATTAGTAATCCTACCCATCTTACCTGTTTACTGTTTTCCTTAATTCTTAGAAATATATATTTAAAAAAAAAATTATGCTGCCAATAGTATTATAAATAACATTATAATGATCATAACAATAACAGAACTGATATAAATAACATCAGAAGAAGAACAAGAAAATTCCCACAAAAACTCAAGGAAGGGATAATTCAGGTGAGGAATTGTAGCCTACTAATGGAGTCCTTGACGGCTGAGCACTTGTGGAGCCATCTTTGTGCAAAGACAATAAATTACAGTGTACATTACGTGTTCCCGGCAGAAATGGGTTACATGAAAGAAGCTTGTTCAGTTTGATAGCAATGAAAATCTTGAGCAGAATTTCTTAAGGTTAAAATCATCACTGGCATCTAGAAGACATGTGACAGAATCAAGAGGGATAACTATGAAAAGAAATTAAGGACAAAATATCAAATTCAGAGGAGGAAATTGGTAAAAAGGAAATGACAAAGGAAAACAAAAACAAATGCAAACAAATGTACAAAAGAGAGCGGGAGTAAAAAATTAAAGAAGAATGAGAGAGAGAGAGAGAGAGAGAGAGAGAGAGAGAGAGAGAGAGAGAGAGAGAGAGAGAAAGAGGGGAGGGGGTAGGGGATGGGGGAAGAGAAGGAAACAAAAAACTTGTGTGCTCAACTTACCTGCCTGCTTCCTCTCCTGTGAACCCCTCATCAGTCAAGAGTGATGAGCCAACTGCCTCTCAAACCCTTGCACGTACCAACTTTTTTCACGCACACTTCACGACAAACACTTGCTGCCACCGCACACCCCAGGCGCTTACTGCTGCCTTTTGATATTTCTTTCCTTTTGATATGTTTCATCTTTCATTCTTTACCTTTCTTACATTTTTAATAACTTTACTTAATCGTTGCCCATACTGCCCTGATCTACTAATGGTAAATTTCTGAGACTCACATCTTTTCATTTTCATGATTTTAGTTATGAGCAAACTACTTTTCAAATCTGACCAAAAGCAAATATGAATTTTCAATTCTTTTCATATCTCAATTTCCTACAGCAGCATTGGGTGACCGTTCACTGTATTTTTTTCCCTTTTCTCATCATGACATGGGATCTTGACTGTTTCACTTTTCTGTTACATCATTTCATAAATTGTCACACGATTACCAAGTAGTCTTCCTTCTCCTGCATGTCAACCTCCCTCATTGAAGCAATCATATTTGAGAATCCTTGAGCTTAGCATAAAACAAACTCGCATCTTTATTAAAACAATACTTCAGAACAAGGACTTGTCATCTTGTACTATTTCAGGATGGTTCAGGAATGTCAAACTGCTTTTGCTGTCTTTTTTCAACATTTTACAAAGTACAGCTTCATTTCTTTACATCATCAAAACATGAGATCAATCTTTGTCTTATCATAAATGATTATTGTTAACTCAAATGCATTTCTCCTAGACACTTTTCTCAAAAAATCAGTCTGACACTTAAATATACACAACAGAGGTGTTAAAAACCTTTCTACATTTACCTATCAGTCTTATATTAAAAAAGAAAAAGAAAAAAAAAATACTAAAGAGGCACTTTCAACCCGTCACAATCATAATCAAATTGACACTTCCATTTTTCAGATTTTTCTACACACACACTCAGTTCTGCAAAAGTACCAGGTACAATGTTTATTTTCTTTTTTATTCTGCACAGTAATGTCACTGTTGGTCAAAGAGGCACAGGTTCTGTTAGCAAGAAGGCAGTTCTGTATCATAGAAACCTGCACCATAAATGATGGACGAGCTTGTGAATTAGCTGATAGAAGAACTGTGGTCTCGGATCATAATAATCATCTGACATACCAGTGACATCCATGGGCAATATAGAGGCTCGAGGTTTGGTTTAAATGTTACAACTGTGTGATGGTTGAGTGTCTGCATCTCCACTGGATCACAGCTGATGTCAGGAAGGGCAGCACTGCACCAACTGAATGATCATTGTAATTCATGCCCAGTGAAAATTCTGAGACTAACTTCAAACTCACATTATTGCAATTCAGCATGCACTCTTGTTATGCTCTTGTGGATTAGTCAGAAGAATTTTATCTTCTTCAGAGTCCATTATTATGTGAATACAGCAACTGTATTTTTAATGATATCTAATAAATGTGTGACCTTCTTCTTCCTCTGATGGTGTGTTTTACAGAAGACACAAAGTTGTTTTCTTGAAAATAATTCAGCAACATTCACAGTCCAATTCTTTCTTGACCTCTTGTAGTAAGTCACAAAAAATGCTTCACAAAATACAGCACCTATAAATTAACCTAAGACACAACAATTTAGAAAATGCATCTGTAAAGTACCATGAGAATTTTTCTTTGACAACAATTGAGGTATCTGTTGTTAACTGTCCAGTAAGGGTAAAAAGTAGCTGCCATACAAAGAGGTGAAAAAGATAATACAAGACAGGTCTATTCCTATTCATGTACATGGATTTAGTAGCTACGACACTTAAATTTGTACTGTAGTTACAAGGTTCTCTAAAATTATGTGGATCATGACTAGCAGTTGTACTATGAAGACAGCACTTAAAGAGCATACCCAGTATACCCATTTCTTAAGAGAGAAAACAAATGAGTGATGCATATTATCTTCTATAGAATGCCATTCATTTGGTATTATAATGAAACTGTTCATAATTTCTAGTAATCCAGAAATCAATTTCCTCTTTGATAATTGTTTGCACAATAAAACAAAAGATCTACAATCTATAAATCAATGATATATTACATATTATTTAATGTTGAGACTAAAGCACCCAATCAATTTTTGATCATACTTTATACAGGTAATGAAATTAATATTGCAAAGTTAAGAAGGAAAAATGCATAAGCTAAAACATGTGAAGAACAATTGAATAAGGCTTTCCTATTCACAATTCACAATCTACACTAAATCATATTCTTTAGAGGAGGTAGAAGTCAAAGAAAAGAAGAAACCTTAAGGCACACTATAATAATATCTAACAAACTAATTTAATAAAAAGTGTTTTAACCCTCCTTTGTAAAAATAGGTAAATAAAGTGTAAGAAAATGAAAAAAAAGTGAGTGAAAGAAATTGAAGAGGAAATACAGAAGTGCTTCGGAGAGTTTTAGGTGAGTGCTCAGGACACAAAGGGTTTCCATTCTGGAAGTGTGACGTGACAGGTACCATGCTGACGGCCATTCTATCTTTGACCGAGGAGTGCCATTGGAAGGCCTGGAGCTGGGCATCGAGGAGAGCTTCTCTGTGGTCCTTTTGTGTTGCTGAGCGACTAGGCTATTTGGAGAATGGTAACGGTTGCATATGGGTTGTGCTTCTTTCTGGGATGTTGTACTACTTCTTTGAGATCCTCTTTCCATTTCTTTGTGTATGCTTTCTTATAATTAATCTCTGTGGTGTGATTGATTGGATCTGGTGCGAGTGATTAACTGACTTAAACATGGATATGAGCAAAAGAAATGAATAGCTAATAAAAACAACAAGTACATTTTATGTAGTCATTAAGGCACTGCTTATTTCAGTCCTTTTTCTTTTCTGATTTTCAGGTAACTTTCAGTTTGAGCTTTTTTTCTCACGAGCAATTGTCACAAAGTTTGCTCACAATCAATCTCACAGCCATAAGTGCACTGAGTTTTGGTGTCCATGCAAATAATCCTAATACGAGACGACGGGAGACACAGAAAACCGACGAGGTAAAAATCCATTTCTCGGAATTGGCAGTGGTATTTTATATTTTTTTACACATCAATCGACACCAAATCTGGGCCCAGGGAGGCAGGGGAACTATGAGAAGACTCTCGGCAGTAGGGGAGAGGGACAAACGGCAACAGAAGTGTGGCATCAGCGGCAGCAGTAGCAACGACAGAAGTGAGAGCAGGAACGGCAGTGTTGGTGACAGCAGTGGCGTCAGCCCTAGGGAGGAGGAGCATCACACTGTCCTCGGCAGGATCGGTCCTCGGTGTAATAGATCTATCCTTTTTCCCCTTAAACTCTAACACTGTAAATATAATGGGTCACGTTCAACCCTCATACTGACCTTGGAGTTATGTTCAGTCTTGCGACGCTTTGACCCTATGAGGAGGAAAACAGAGACAAAAGTAGCATTAGCCTTTCAATTACCAAACTTCATTAAATAAACCTTGTCATATAGCCATTCTAACAATGATAAAGGCATTATCAACCAACGCATGACCCCTAATCCATCATAGGAAGTCCCAAAAACAAAAGGAAGAATATTCTCAACTGAACCAACCTCTTGAAGACTCAGGAGGTTCCATCTTGTTAGAGGCTGAAGAAGCGTTGGATGTGACACTGCTCTCCCTCTCCCTCTCGGCTCCACCCCCCACTAATGCCCGGTCATCTCGCTCTGGGTCCGCATAGTCCTCGTCATCATACTGCCAAGTGAAAATTAATGATACATATGAATAAGTAGAACACAAATAAAGCAGAACAGTAAATAGCAATATTAATATGCAATTTAAATATATACAATAATGTCCAAAAAATTTGCAAGTTGACTTTAATTTCATCAGAATGCATGTCATAACCATATAACTTTGCAAAAAAAAAAAAATACCTTGGATTTCTTTGATTCTTTGGATCTCTTCTTGGGCTTTTCTTCTCGTTCCTCTTTCTTGTCCTTATCCTTCTTTTCCTTCTCCTCTTTCTTTATCTCTCGGTCTTCGCTCTTTCTCTTTTCACTTGCTTCTTTTTTCTCCTTTGACACTTTACTGAAAAGAGAATATTAAACATTAAATTTATGAGAAGCACATATGCGGCAAAAAACAACAACAAAAAGACATACAAATTTAGGAAACATTAAAGAAAGAGCAAAGAGAAACAGGGAAAAGACCCTGACTAACCTTGCTGACTCTTTCTTGATCTCCTTCGCCTCCCTGTCCTCCTTGCCCTCCAGCTCTCCATTGGTAGTCTCTGAAGTCTCCATCTGTTGGGGGATTGCTGGCTGTCATACTGGCTCTTGAAATATGGCTCATCCTTGTCATGAAAATTATACGAGAGAGAGAGAGAGAGAGAGAGAGAGAGAGAGAGAGAGACAGTGTGTGTGTGTGTGTGTGTGTGTGTGTGTGTGTGTGTGTGTGTGTGTGTGTGTGTGTGTGTGTGTGTGTGTGTGTGTGTGTGTGTGATTTTTGTAATTTCATGAGTGAGAGATTGAGAAATGATGAGACAAAAGAAACATGACAAATATGACTCACCTTGACAATCTTTTCATTCTGGTCTCCCACCTCCCCACTGCTCTTGACGTCATTTGTTGCCGACGAGCTAGACTTCTCTGAGGCCCCGTTCACAACCTTTGCCGCCTGTGGCCTCTTTGGGACAATGTGGAAGTCTGTCTCAGGCATCAGGTTGGGCTTTGCACCTTTTAGTCTCCCTGAGTAGCTGTTTGCCAGGACATATAGGTCATTCCTCCGATTTCTCTCCTCGTTTTTCACCTGCAAAAGGAGGGGGGGTGTCATTCCTGAAGGAGATACCTCAGTAGTGATGCCTGAAGTGGAGGAAGCAGCTGGGAAAACTGAGAGCAAAACTCAATAAAATGTATTATCAATTTTCACAACCATAAGAACAAACTCTTATGGGGGGGGGGGGGGTTACTTAGGTGAATGATAAAATCATAAATGTAAAAGGAATTTGAAATATAAAAGAAGTCTACCACCTTTGGCTTTGAAGATTACCTTCTCAATCCTCTTTTCAATGACTGCAGCGAGGTTTGAAATGACAGGGAAGCGTTGCAAGATGCCCTGCAGGATAAGGATGGCGTTGCGTATCTGGATGTAGTCCCCACTCTCTAGGCAGGTTACCAAGGCCTGTTAACCACAGAGAAATTATAGGCTGTTTCAATGCTTGAGTTAGTCACCTACAGATGTTACTCTTATTTAAAGATTCTTATTAAGCTACCTATTCATTATATTTCTTTTTAACTTTTACCTTTTTATTCTCAATTTTTTTATCAAGATATTTTCCTAGGCTTCCTCTTGACACTGAACATTGTCTCTCAACAACTTTCTCTAGCTATGTTAACCAGTATTAATGAAAACAATTCTATCATTCAAGCTTTTTCTTTGTTTCCAATGAAACAAAATGTTGAATATAGTTATAAAAGCCTTTAACAAATATGCATAAGGTGCTTATCTTATGACTGCAGACAGCTGACATATCTGCTAAGGTTTACATAACTTAGACAGCAAAAAGCAGATTTACCCACAGAAAGCCTCAGGCAAATAGCCCCTATAATTGTAGAGAGCAGAATAATTCTTAAGTCTTTTCAACAGGTCTGGAGAGTAGTTGCTGCTCATTTGACCAAAACAAAAAACAAACAAACAAACACACAAAAAGAAAGAAAGAAAGAAAGAGACGGGGGGGAGGGGAAGTGAGGGAAAGAGAAAGGGAGGGAGGGAGTGAGAGAGAGAGAGAAAAAGGGAGAGGGAGTGAGAAAGAGAGGGAGAAGGAGAGAGAAAGGGAAAGGGAGAGGAAGAGGAGGGAGAGAGAAAGAGTTTCAATCACACAAACTCATTTACTAT